GATGCAGGTTTTCTGGCTGCATCCTTTGGTTAAGCTGTGCACATCGTAATAGAGCCAGGCTGTGGACTCTCATGTCCTTGAGGCTGCTCAGAAGATGTCCTAATCGTTGGTGATGCTGTCCAATGTGGAGCTGGCACCAGCCCTGGGGGGACAGCTTGATGCCGAGCAACACCACACGATGATCCCCCACACCCATCTCCTCCCTCCAGACAGTTCCATGCCAGGACTCATGAGAGATTGAGACAGCCTGGGGTAATGAAAGACAACAGCTCTGCCTGCCAGACGAACTGCTGGCATGGAAAAAGGCCGCAATGGGAGAGTGTCCGTGCCAGCTGTGGCTCTTTGACATGCTGCACTCTGCTACCTGCTGCATCAGAGTTGTACTTCATTTGAAGACTGTCATTTCTGTTCCAGACTAACAAGCCATTTTGCTTTTTTTTTTGCTTTTTTTTTACAGTAGGGACAAAAACAAATGCAAACAAATCTTTAAAACTGATTTCATCCATTCTATCTCAGCTTAACAAATTACATTTTACTAGAGTAAAAGAACAACATTTTACATATTGTATTGTTTTGCGTGATGGACCAAAACAAAGGGATGCACTGACATTGAATGAATAGAAATACAAAACATATTGCAGATATAAAAATCCATGCAGGGTGACTTTGTAGGCAGCCCACTGCAGTACTATACAGACTCATCTTATGCTACAGTTATAAACGTTTAGTCTTTTTGGGCTTCTTTCAATTTTAAAGAGACTTTTTTATACCTTCTTTTCAAGGATTTTCAGTTGGATTCAAAACTATTCTTTGGCCCTTTCCAACCCTTAGCTTCATCTGCTCAGCATAAAATAAATAAATGTGCTATTAAATAGTCAAACATACATTTCTTTGTTTTTAAATATATCATTAAAAACAATTTAATATACAATTAAATTATCAGATGTAGAATTAAACAAGGTAATGAGGCTTTAAATTGAATATATCGTTTTGAAATATGATAATAAATAATTGAATGTGAGCAGCACCAGCTTTCGTGGTGTAGGATGGTGGGCGCTCACACAGAATTCAGCAAAATCAACGCTTGCTCCACTTAATGGCTAACACCTGCTTATGACCTGTCAAGAACTTTTCAGAGACCAAAATAAGTATATGAAGCTGTCGTAGCTCACCCATTGTGCAAAACTATTGACTCTAGTTCTCTGTTTCAGAAAAAGGCGGCCAATCAGATGTTAAAGTTTCTATGAAAATGATCATTGTCCTTTCCAATAAGTTTGACAGTTTAAATCATTTCATTAAGAGTCTGATGGGGAAAAATTATTAAATTAATAATTAAACAAGTAAAAGTGAAAAAGTATGTGCTCCAAAAACTACTTAAAATATAAAAGTATAAAGTGACCTTAAAAAAAAACAGCCAGATGCCACTATATGAATTGAAAGCTCAATTTTTCAACTATTTCGAAAAATTCTTTGAGATAGAGCCAAGGATGAGGGAGGTTTTTTTGGTCTCCATCTCACGATACGCTCTCGCCTGTGTTCGACCTTTCAGACATTTCAACATCTTTTTCTGAATCCGAAATCGTAGCATGGCATAGACAATTCACATTTGCAGTTTGAAGAACACCTGCTTGCTTCTGATAATTTCCTTTGGCGTCAGCACAAATTTGAGGAATAGCTAACTAATGAGTGTTTGTGTTATATGACTCATCCAATTATACTATTTTCCTCTAGATGTGGATGGCGCCAATGATCTGCATTGAATGGCGCACATGATGTGAAATAAAGATTTATAAACATAAACCAAAGGTCACCAATTAAAAATCAGTGGGGTCAGAATAAAGAAAATCATCAACCAGTAAAGGTCCGGGGACATTTTGAATGATCTGTTACATTAAACAGAATTTAACACTGAAATAAAATTAGGTATTTATGCATTCTTTTTATACACTGAATTTTTAAATAAAGAAAAAAATGAAATTGCCAAAAATGGCATCCTTTGCTATCTCAGAGGAGTTGACACTTGTATGACTGTATTCCTGTATATCTGAAGCCTCATTTGGAGCTTTTAAACAGGCTTTTGAAAAACTTTGATAATTTGCTGCTGTAATATTATACATTTTTTAGAAACAGAAGTACAATTATAGAGCATTCAATATTGTAAGAAAGCCCACACTGTTTCTGAATAAATACAATATTGTATGAGTTGAGTTCTGTTCCGTTTATGTCTCTTTCCTTTTAAGTATGAAATGTCCCATGCTCCTGAATGCACCATAGCTATCTGACCTTTGTGAATGCATCACTGGTCTGTAAACGCTGTGCTGTGTAGATGCACGTTTGATTTTCCACTTAAAACAAACCTTTGCAGTTTCCAAACTCATCACTGTTTAATGTTGTTTGTGCATAACAAGAGACTATAACAAATGAATCAGCCGTACCTCGGACAAATACTTTGGATTTAATGTTGTTCATTACACCCTTTACTTTTGTAAATGAATCTGCCAAATAACCACAATTTCTTTCCCCAATGAGAGGAATATTTAAACGTTTTTATCATTAATATAACAACAAGTAGTTCTATTGGTCATATTTTAATCCATTTTCCTCGTTGATATGCAGTTGTACAGAGCGAGACGCGCTCCTGCGACTGGGGATGCATATCTCGGCAGGGATGCACTTTTCGGCATAACACTGGACCACGGTCCGCTAATCCGTGACCTCTGCATTAAACCGAAGCCAAGAGTAACGAGTAACGGTTGTTTTAAAAATGTAAGGAATAGAAAGTACAGATACTTGTGTGAAAATGTAATGAGTATAAGTCAGAAGTAGGAAGAAAAATAAGTAATGAAGTAAAGTACCTAAAAAGTGTAATTAAATACAGTAACAAAGTTTTTGCACTTCGTGACTTGACACCTCTGTATATGGTACATATACATTTTTAATGATGTATTAAATAAATAATAGCACATTTAAATATTTAATTGTACATTTAATTTTATTTAATTTAATTTTGCATTTCATTTGTTCAAGGTACATTTATTGATTTTATAATGAATTTGCATTAATTTATTTTATTTTGTCCTCTTTAAGCATATTCAAGATCAATTTGGTGGATACATAGAACCGAACCGAGAACCGAAACATGAGTTGTTGAGTATGAGCGCGAGCTACGAGAACGAGCAGAAGACTGCTGCAGTGTTTTGGTGTGGCAGCAGCATTAGAAAACTGCATAATGCCTCTTTAAGACAGAAGATTTGATTAGTAAACAAGAAGCAGGTGTTTTATTAGAACTTGGATGCTGCTTTAAGGAAGGAAAGGTACAGAATTTGAATTGAATGGAAGAACTGGCTGACACAGCGTAAAAGGAGGAAGACTATAGATGCCAAAATATAAAAAAATAAATTCGAAACACGTAACCTAAATCCAAAGTGTCTTTGCATTAAGAAGGTTATGTGTTAGCAAATCTGTTGAATTTTGTCTATGTTTAGATGATTGTCTAACCCTTCATTCACCCCCACATTCCAAAACACAAGTTAACCTGCATCTCCTTTTAGTTAAGCCATGAATATTCCAATCAGAAGCCAGCATGGTGCTGCAGGATTAGCTGGAGTGTGACAGCATACAGAATATAAATATATGTTTTACACAGGCTTTAACCATGTGTTGCCTGTCAGCACAATTATTTGAAATGTATGTGTCTTTGCATGACACACATTACTTTAGCTACTCAGAGCTCTTCCTCACAGTTCCCTTCCCCCTCAGCTAGGATGCATTTAAAGAGGACATAAGCGTGTGCACTTGCAGTGTTCATTCATGTTGACGACCTTGATAGCAGGTGGATGAACTCCCAGGTGTGTCCCAGTTTTAGAGAGAGGATCATAGGCAGGTGGGACCTGGACTGGGCTTGATGTTTCCAGATTAATGAGCTTTTCCTTGCTCACATCAGCTGCTAGGGCTGCTGGCCGAGCCAGGCTGGAAACAGCGACAAAGCCCTGGCACGCACTCGCTAGATTCATTTATATTGTAGCAAAAATGTGCCACACTGTTAAGCCATGCCAGCCCCATAGAAAATCTGGATAAGGAAGAAGGACTGATGTATTGTTTATCCTGTTATAAAAAAAAGTCTTAGGTTATTAACAGTAATTATTCCCAAACAACAGGCACAAAAAACCTGTGGTCTTCTGCTGGTAAATCTCCAAAGACTTGCCTGGCTAGGTTTAACGTGAAGGGAGACCAGTGGGACTTCTTAGCCTATAAACATTATGAGACACTCAGCACTGGATTTATGTGTGCAGTAAAATCATCCAAATAAGATATGGGAATGGAAATATCCTAATAATGGATAGAACATGAGTTTAAACCCCTCCTGATTTCATAATTTTGAATACCAGGACCTTATACCACAGAGACAAAAATAACACACACTTCTGTGGATATAAGTATGTGAGAAAGAGAGATGCGGTGTAGATGAGCAGCAATCGGACCCAGCTTTGGGATAAACAAAAGTTGACCTAAGTGACCTCCCTCATTAGCAGCCCACGGTGGAAGATGGAGCGGGGACGACGTGTGCCGTGGAGTTGGTGGTGTGTGGGTTGGTGAGTGACTACAGAAAGCAGCACATAAGTCGAGAATGAGACAAAAGAAAATGATAAAATGAACCCTCTCGCGACCCCACAAGCAGAGAGGTACTGGATTTACGTGGCCATTATCTCGGCTCCTCGCTCCACTCTGAGACCAACATTAAATATTCCTCAACTCATTTTTGTTTGCAGATAAGAACTCAATAAAACATTTGCTATTAATGGGAGATGCTGTTAATGGCTTCATCTGTTTTCTTTATCAATATATTTAGTTAAACGTATACATAGAAAAAAAAAAACTCTTAAAAAAAGACTTATAGATATGATAGAGGCACAAATTATTAGTAAAAGCTGGACAATATTGTTATCCCTATAATCTATTAAAGTTTGCAAACATCAGAAAATCAGAGAAAATTTACTGACCTCCCTGTCCAGGCCGGCTGCCACAGTAACAATGTCTCCCGTCTCGCTGTTGATGGTGAACATATTAGGAATTGGACTTTGAGGAGTCTGTGAAAGGATCCGATACCGCACCATGCCGTTAGCTGTGGTGGAGTCATCCGAGTCCCTGGCTGTGACTTGCATCACAGAGGAGCCTATGTGAAGAAAGATAACAGGCAATGCAAGATGGTTTAGAGTCTTGTTAAAAAGCATTTAACCCACTAAGATTTTCAGTTTCTATACAAGCTTTGATTTCATTACTGACTTTTTGTGATAGACCAACACTAAGTACCAAAAAATTGCTGAATCAAATGATTCTACAATAATTGACACAACCTTTAATATAACCCCCGAAAGTGTTTGTTTTCAGCCCCCTCACTTGTTTGTAGATTCAGATTTGGGGAATGCCTCCACCACCCTCTCACATTTAAAATTTCATTTTTTTGCCCTTTCTTCAAAAGAGTTTAAGCTAGTGAGATCATGCCATGAAAAAGGAAAGCAGCTGGTTTTCTTTAGAAACTACTTGTTTGAATAGATGTCTCATTCTGTTTGTGTATAACACACATGCTTTATAGTTTTGAGCTTCTGCCAACACAGCAAGGCTTCGGTTGTCAAAGAGATTTCAGATTTCACATGGACTTCCTGATTAAATAAAGGTACAAACAAATGAGGATTGTTGTCAAGCTTGAGGATGACAATCTGTCCGTCTGTTTTGAGGTAACTTACTTTCTTTTAGGATGGTCCTGTGGCATCAGCTACAACCAGTCTTTATCCCTCCTTAAGACCACATTGCAACACAACGGCTGCATTGATAGAAGTTTTAAATGTCACTTAAAGGCATTGGGTCTTAAACTCCTGTATTGCCATAAATTAATGTTAGTGCTGCGTTTCACACAATTTATCACTCCATATATTGGAAAAAAGTGTGGTATTACCTCCTTGGTTACTCTGTGTCATTTGGCAGTTATAAATCTTGGTGCAAAAAAATAATTGTGGGGGTCCTCAGGGGTCCACTCTTGAGCCACTTTTGTTTAAAGTCTATATCACCACAGTACACATTTTTCAGTTTGTCCATAATATTAATGAGTGGATTGTCCATAAATGTCTCCATCTTAATTAAGATTTAAAATCAATTCTGAGCTAGGAACCTGGGTTTGGTCTTAAGCTTGAATCAAAATTTTGGCAGCAAAACAGTCCATAATCCAAAGTCATTATAAAAAAAAAAAAAAAAAAAAAAAAAAAAAAAAAAAAGTAATATAAAGCATTATAAAAGAAGAAAAAAAAGACATTGCCAGAAAAAAAGGTCTAATGTCACACAGGACACAGCAATACTGATGCATGTCTTTATTTCTAGTATGATGAATTATTGCAATAGTGTCCTTAGTGGTCTCCATAGATAAATCAGTCAGTTTTTCTTTTCTTTTTTTTTTTCTTTTTTTTTTTACACCACAACACATTTAGGATTTAGATCAATATCTAAGATCAAGGTTTAGTTATCTAACCTAAGGACCAGCTTTTATGCCATATCTACTATATGGCTTGCAGCAAGGTGTAAACAATATTTCGTATGATTTACTTCTAACATCGTTCTGTCACTCTTCCAAAGAGGTTGAATTTGTGGACTACAATAGTTGCCCTGTCCATATATTTTCTCCCATCACAGCCATGAGTCTCTGCTCCTCTTCCAGGGTTAAATTGACCTTTTGGCTACTTTTCTGATTTATGCTCTTCAGAGTTTAGGTGGACAGCCATGTCTTGGTAGGTTTAACGTTTTGCAACACTCGCTCTATTTCCATGTGCTATATTAAACATCTCTCCATTGTCTGTACCCTCTCATCCTTGGAGGGTCAGAGGTGTTTATCCTCAGCAGTCAGTTGGGGAGAGGTGGGGTAAAGGTTGCCACTTCAGCAAAAGTTAACACAGAGACATGCTGCAAATGTGCACATATTAATTCCTAGGGCCAATTTAAAGTAACCATTTCAAGTTGTAGTAAAGTTTTTGTAAAAGAGAGGAAAGCATAGTAGGTGGACAGCCTACAAGTAGACTGAACAGCTTGGGATAGTGTTTCAACACCAAACTCAGCTTTAACCTTCTCCACGACTTTCTCCCTCATCCCCATGCTTTGTCTTAGTCTGTTCAATGCCGTTTGTTTACTAATATTATTTAATAAATGTTTGAGCCCTTCATCGAACAGCTGAGTTTATAGAGATTAAATCACACAAAGGGGAGTTCAATTTACTAATTAGATTACTCTTTAAGGAAGCTCCTGCACTGGATTTAATGAATACAAATGCAAAAACCAGTTGTAAGCAATTTTGAAATGCATTTCTCATTTTCCTTCATGTTAATCATAATGTACAACCTTATGTTGCTCACACACATTCCAAATAAACATATTGACTGCTTATATTTTAAATAAAACCTTATGAGGGCTTCAGAACCTCATTATTATTAGTGAACTTAGAGAAAATTTCAAAGGGAATGACTCATTTATAAACTTCAAACAAGTCCAACAGACCCTTCAAATAGCTCTGACATTTTCTGTTCTGGAAAGCAAACCTTTACAGACATAGCAGATACAGAAAAAAGTGTGAGAACACAAACACCAAGCCTATTAAATAAGCTCCTGTTTTAAGTTACACTTATTTGTTCTCTATGTGTTTCAAGCAGAGCGAAGTAAAGTTTCCACCTCTGCAAAGGCCATTTAGAAATGAGCAGCACAGAGTCTTCCAGCATTTCAACCTTCCATTATTTCAGCCTTCCATGGCATTCGGGCTGCTGTTAATGCTTTGATACTCTCTCCCCATTTGTCTTGGAATCACAGATAAACACTGTCATTTAAGGCACACAGCACAGGGGCAGCAAGATGGAGGAAGCGTTTGCTGACAGTTCTGTGTATATGTGGTGACAGAATCTATGTACATCTTCAATTATTTCCCGGCACATTTACGCATTTGTATGCATGTGCTTGTTTGTGTCATCTTAGCATGTGGATGGTGAAGTGGGGGTTGGGGGAGGGGGTTGCATCCCAGAGCAGAATTATTGATTTGCACGAGTTTGTCCACTGGGCTCGCAAATGCGACCAGGCAATTAGGAGCACTTTGTGCTAGAAAGAGGAGAGATCACCTCGCCTCTCTCACATGGCTCTGTGGAAATGTCACTTTCCATCAGGCGGCCATTTACAGCTGCTGCTGCTAAGAGGAAAAGGAGTGTCAGTTCGCTGGAGGAGGAGAGGAAATAGGAGAGACATACTGCACACTGTACTGTAAAAAAAAATGTAACAGATAAAATTAAAAGTATCAAATAAAACCATTTTAAGTTGCTTGCAGTGCCTTGTAAAAATTGTCTCAAACCCATTACATTCATCTGAACAAAACGGTATGCAGATGAACATTTTGAGGTAAAAGAAAATTGGAAAATGCTTTGTACATAAAGATATAAGTAGAACTGTTTACATTTGTTTTGAGCCCACAGTCAATGCTCATTCAAACAGATGTAATTAACCTGCTCTTTTAGTCAACTTTGATGTGCCATTTTCAAAGGGGTTTTTGGCAGGACCAAAGCAGGTAGGAGAAGCAAGGAGACGATGTCACTTCAAAAATTGCTTAGGGAAACAGACATATAAATGTAGACCTTTTGCATGGTTCAAAATTATTGTAGATTCCAGCAAAGGCAAATGGCAATGGACAGCTTCAACACTGGGAGAGACAGGAGAAGGAATAACAAGCAGGTGTGGCAATTGAGTCAAATAGTGGAACGTCTGAAAAGAGAGACCCGGGGGAGGGAGAGACGGAGGGAAACCTGGAGACCAGATTCACCATAAAAGAGTAAATCCACCAATAAAGAATGAACTAAGGTGGAAACAACTGAAGAACATGAACAAAAGCAATGAACAACAAATTCAAACACCAACCAAGGAGGATCATAATAGGACCTGTTTTGCTCTCCCTGCTAAAGAAAAAAGCATCCCCACAGCATGATGCTGCCACCAATATGTCTTTTTTTCTAATCAGTGATGATGTTCTGTGCATGCAGATGCGTCTTATGCCTTTTTTTTTGCATGTAGGCCAAAATGTTGCTCTTAACTGACCAAAGTACTTTGTTTCATGTATTCGAGACAAATGACTGATGTAATGCTAAGTGTTGCTAATGTAGGGTTGTTTGGTGTTTTTATCTTTTTATGCTGTAAAGCATTTTGAATAATTGCTTATGATGATATGAAAAATATTCTTGGCTTGCCTTCTTTTCATTTTACAACTGAGCACCTCTCTGTCCTGGTCTATAACATGAAATGGCACGTCTCGAGAAAAGTTCTGATTGCGGTTCATATTGTGAAAAGCTTTAAGGCTGTTACTACTGAGTGTACTATTAGCAGAATGTGGGTTTGAGTCCCAGTCGCAGCAAGATTGTATTTGGCGTAAAAACTGTGTGGCGAGTCCTGAATGTGCCAGGAGCCCGTACGAGGCAAACAAATTACTCTGTGTTCTTTAAAAACTGAGTAAAAGCAGAAATAAGGACATGGGTTAACCCATGTCAACTATAGCCACGTTTTGGACAAAGTCCTACATAAAGTATTCATTAAAAAAAATCTCACACCTTTACTCTCCAACTTAAGCTTTACAAAAAAAGTTGCAGAAACCATCTTGGCTGATTTTAGTGGCAGGTTCCTTATTAATTTGGTTGCGTCACATCAAAGCATTTAAAATAAATTACACAAATCACATCAGGGCACGCAAGTCTGGTTTTGCTTCACGACCTTTCAAATCACCAACAGGAAAGATGCAAAGCAGCTGCTGGATTCATCGCTGACTCTGTGGCTCCCTGTGGGTCTGAGCGCTTAGCTGGGGTCTCAGCTCCTGTAATTGGGTTTCGTTGGCACCATCATTCCTCTGACAGCCCGTGCGGACAGGATAATTGTAGCCTCAAATTCTATTTCAAACTTCATTAAGTTTCAAAGCAGGATTTGTCACTTTGACCAGCAAGCACAAGAAGGAGGTCTAAGAAAAAAACTGGAAAAAGAAAAACAATTACAACACATGGGGCTGTGTCAATATATAATGAACTTTTCCAGTCCACCCTCTATTGAAAGATATAAGCAAGTGTGTTTGTAAAGGGAAAGGATGAGGCGGACCACATTTTGGTGCTGCTTCCCTTC